GTTTATTCTATGTCATTCTACGTTATTTTATATTATAAATTATGAATGTTATTGTGTTATGTTAGGATATACGTTTTGATAGTTTGACGCAATTTATTTTTTTTATACAACTTAGAACGGCAAACACGCTGACGGCCCACCTGATGGAAAGTGGTAACCGTCGCCTATAAACAAGAACAGTACCATGGACATAACAGAGTATACTGTTTCGCCCATGATACCCCCCATGCGTTGCCATTCCTGAGAACTTAGATGTTATTCCTCTGTACCCTGTAAATTCACGCCATATCCCACCCTTCATAACGAAACACAGCTATGCAAATACAACTGCTTCACGGTTGAAACACGAATGGGACAGAGGTACTTAAGCAGTCGACTTTTGTACAAAGTCTCCCTCTGGTAAAATCATCGTAATTGTTTTTTATATCATCGTGGTGGCAAATAAGTATACGGCCCATTTGCTGGTAAGCGGTTACCGTAGCCTGTGAATGCTTGTAATACCAAAAACATTATGCGTGTTTCGGTGACCCTGAAGAAACCTCTTTACCCCTTTTTTTACAGAACTTCATACTGAATTTTCTAAACGAGATCAATTCATAAGAAGAAGATCTCTAGTCGTCTTCTTGTATCCTCTCCTCTGTTCTGTTTATGTTTTCCACAGTTAATACTTGTTTCTGTAATTCGGTTTACAGGGGAAGATATTGTAAAATTACCAGATAGGAATATCTCATTTCAGACATCTCAGAGCTCAGGACATAGTATATTTTGTCAATGGTGATGTTCAAGGTACTGTTTATATCTATATGTAACTACTTTCTATCATGTGGGGCGTTAGCTTGTTTGTTATTTCAAGTCGCATAAAAAAAATTAAATCACAAAGATTTTTTTTTATTTTTATTATATTATTTTGTATGTGTGTGTAGTTAGTAGCATCGTAGTATTTGGTATAAGTTTATTTGTGTGTGTCACACGTTGTATAGACTTTCGGGGTTATCTGGATGCTTTCAGTTCGCATTATAGTTTTCACTCGACGAAGCGCGAAAATATTGATTGCAATTAATTGCAAAACATGAAACTGTTAAAATGAATGTGCATTTTAAACAATAGCTATTTGTTAAGTTTAGGGTTAAACAAAATTGATGTACAATATTAAATGTAATTATGATATAAGTTTATATTTTATATTATTATACATAACCTTTTTCTATTATAAATGTAATGTTTTATAGGTAGGTTTTTAAGTAGGTTAGATGTTTAGTTAGATATTTAAAATAAAAAATCAATATAGTTTGAACAATTTAATAACACTAAATACTAATACTAAAAAAAATTTCAATATTGGACTTGTTAAAGCCATCGCGTTTTTCATAAGAAGGGATTTTAGTTTAAAATGCTTAGTTAAAAACGTACTGAATATGCATTACAACAGAACAAGATTGGTTCTGCTATCTATCAAAACAAGCTTCTATTTTTGTTCCATGCCGTCTTTATTTATAAATTTAATTTATATTGTTGTTTTATGTCAACGATTTACATCGCTTGCTAACCGCCTCCTTGAACAAATGCTTTCGAATGTGCAAAAATCATGCTTAAAAAGCTGAACAGGTTTAAATGAAATGTTGTACGTGGGAAGGTTTTATTCTAACTTAACACATAGAGTATACTGTATACTCTAATTCATGTGGGTAAGACCACGAGAAATATTTAGTTTAGATTCGTGTATAAATTACTGGTTAACATTCCCTACTTGTAATCATTCAAGTGGGTATTCACTCATTTTTTAGAATTTTTTCTGTATTCTACATAATTGTTCAGAAATATACTGAAACGATTATAATCTAGAGAACCCCCCCCCCCTAAGTCCCCCTAAGTCTTTCTTTTGGGGGGTTATGCTAGTAGTTGCCATACTTACCAGGTGGATTGGCAACCGCAGTTAGGCTTTGAAGATGTTTTAAGAGGGACGCTGTTGCCCATGATTTGTCCTCACTTAGTCGGCTCTTACGACACCCATGGCAAAGGAACAGGTGGCCTATTCTATACCGGCATGGCTATACATGGCTGATACTCTTAGCATTTTTCAATTAAACAAAACTTGAGACGAGTAATTTGGTTTAATTTTACGGAATTATTTTTATACTCTGTTACAATTCTATAAAAGAACTTATTGGCGTGCCATTAAAATAATTGCTGTATAATGGTATTTTGGTATTTTCAATTATCCCTATCTATTTATGAGTATGTTCGATGCAATTAGTATCTGACGCGAGCTGCACTAATCCTCATTAATTACTTGGCAATTTTAAATCTCATTATTGGTGTACAAATCAGTCTGGCATCGATTTTTACCAGTATACTGGCGACACACGGGCATTGCATAATATATTATCCACTATTGCAGGGTGACTATATGTATAGCAAGGAGTTATTGGATATTAGATTTTATGTTTTGAAAATTGGACGATCATCAGTGTAAACCTATATACAGTTCACTATTGAAGAGATGTGTCAATTTATCGCCTTTCCATATATAAAATAATTGACAAAATAGAATAAAATTTAGTTACTATTATTCCTATTTATTGGAACGCTCAAGCCTAAATAGTGACAAAAAATGTGAACTAGGATTCCCTGTGATATTAGGAAAATATAGGGGCACAACCCACAACAATTACATATGCATTTATATAAACCGTAAACATTTATTTATGCCTAGTGGTACCGGCATAGAATTTGTCAACACTTCCTTTGCGATGTCGTAAGATACGACTAAGGAAACTCAATGATCGAGGAATGGGAAGCAATGCTCTTCTTGAAACATCACTAAAGCCTAACTGCGATTGCCAACCTGCCTATCAAGCGTGGCAGCTATTGAGAGAACTCCTCTTATGGGAGAGGCCTATGTTCTGGAGTGGACAATTAACTAATATGATGATGATGATGATGATATGATTTGTTTATGACTAGACAGAAACGGGTGTTCGGTGAGGCTGTAACTCAAGTGGTAAGAACACTGGCCCCGTAGTGACTTTAAAAACTCATCTAAATTTTTTTTTATACGACATAGAATAGCAAATAAGTTGACGGCCCACCTGTTGGAAAGTGGTTACCGTCGCCTATAGACATGAGCAGTACCATGGACATAACAGAGTATACTGTTTCGCCCACGATACCCCATGCGTTGTCATTCCTGAGGACTCAGATGTTATACCTCTGTACCCAGTAAATACACGCCATATCAAAGAATGTTCAATCGCTCAACAATTCTTGAAGCATTGTTTTCACTCCGATTTATTTTAAAAGATAGTGTGTCCGATTTTATTACAGTAAACGACGGTGTCACTAGTACATACATACAATAGGGATGTGTTCGTCTGTCCATCGCATTGGCGCAAATTAATGAGGGTGGGTTATTTATTTCGGTTTCGTTTGGCGATGCCAAAATATCAGGCCGGCTGGACAGTAGAGACAGGTAATATGGAAATGTGTGTCCGGTGTAGTAATGAGCTCATTAGGGCTTTATATGTAAAACGGTTGACTGATATTACTCAGATATATCATAACAATGTGGTTGCATGTGGTGTAATTGTGTTATATTTATTTGATATTTTTTTATCTGGTTTTGAAAATACGACTCTCAATGTTCCATCACATATGTTTGTGTAATATTCTTAGATTATTACTAATATTATGATAACATGCTTTATATTATGTATGAAAATAATTATAATGTGTTATATGAAAAAGGTGAGGTCATTTTAATGTTATTGTAGTTATAATTTACATGTTTTGCTTTGAACATTTCGTGAGCCTGATTTTTCGATTCAATTTTCGTTATAAAAATATATTACCATAGTTTTACTTATTATTTAGTCACTAATCTGGTTACTTTATTTATCAGGATCTCAATGAAATAAAGAAGGAAATGGAATACTATTTTGTTGATTAAAGTTTCGTAAGTACACATTATATTTTAATATAATAACAACCGAATCAAATTCAAATTGATATCTTCAACTCACGTCTAAATAACTTCAAAAACATTTTACAATCAGCCATCAAGTCTCTTTGACATGTCCATATTTTTATGTATTTTTATTATTTGCTTGCATTGTTATTTACCACATTCATTTGCTTTCTTTTTATAATTTAACATTGTTTGCCGACTGCTTCAACCATGCTGTGTGTACACCTGCCTGGGTCACAATCTAGTTCAAACTATTATCTTTATATAAATGTTTATAATGTTATTGATTGTAACCTGTTGTGTATACCTTTTAATAAATAAAAAAAATATCTTACGTGTAATTTGGTCGAGAAAGTTCGACTAGTTTCGGGACCGTTTGGAATATCGTGAACGTGACTGACATTACACGTAAGTTAAACTGGTACTTAATAAATTAAAATATAATGGAATACTATGTTAAGAATGAGTTATCGTATTTGGAATAATGGAATTACGAAAATTGTATTAATTCCATTAATGAGTCCAATTCAATACTATGTATCTAATAATGTTTAAATTTTATTTCTTTTTTTATTATATACACTTCTTCCTCGCGTTGTGTTTCTCAATTACTGAGAGAGTGATGACCTCGCAGAACTACCATTTCTAATGATATTTCTCCATCTGTATCTATCCTTGGCGTCAAGAGAGCATTATGAAACTTAGTATCTTAGGTACTAGTTCCACAATGCTCTCATGATGTGCCAATTTGTTCAGTCCATCTTGTAGGACTGCGCCGTCCTCAGTCGTTTGTCGTCCACCCTACCGGTATATAATACAGGTTACATTAAGAATTGATATAACAGTAAATTTAAAATTAATAAATAAGTTAATACAATAAGTAAAACAGGAGGATATATAACAAAACATCATAATTTTATCGAATTTATTTAATGTAAAATTATTTTCTCTACTTGTATTGAACAAAAATACAACAACAAGCAGAAATTAAATAAGAATTGCTATGCAAGTTAATTTTTCTTATAAAAACATATCATATTGCACAAAGTGTAAATACTAAGTACCAACATATTTAAATAGCTACAGACAATGTTTTGGCATAAGATTTTTACGTCCCCTTTTCTATCTTTGGTATATTTGGTATAATTTTAACAAACTAAAATTAAAATTTACGAATTAGGGGTTTTCGAAAAAAACAAACAAATTATTTTTATACGTGTAATATAACATTATTACATTGGTAACAAAGTCATTTTATTTATAAAGACTTGAGTTACTGTTTAGGTACTTTTCATTATTATCGGTTGGTACTTTTTACATTTTAGTGTAAAACGTTAAAATATAATTGCATAAAGACACATATAAAAATTAATTATTGCTATTTATAACTAAGTATATTTGGCACATGTACCTAAGTAACGATAGATCGATAAATAGAGCAAATCAAATTCAATTATCATTTAACATAACATAGAACAGAATCTAAATAGGTATCTACATATGGACAGAGTTCACATAGTCAACAGATAGTGTATCTTACACTAATTAAACCAGTATACATCTACTCAACTTTATTAATTGCACATCTATTGCACTTTACAAGATGCGTTACAACATTGTATTCACATTTTATATACAACCTTAATATAAGTCTGTATCAGCTTGTTGATAAACTTCATGACGTGCAAATACATGTAATTTACATTTATTTTTTTATTTACTTACTATGCATGTACAGCGTAGAGGTTGAGATATATTTCATTATACACAAAAGTACAATGCACTGTTTGTCATGAAGATTATCATTAACTTTAAAAACAAACAATAAACAATAATAAAAATAAAATAGTATTTCACATAATTATAATAGGTATTGCTTTGTGCCTGGATAAAAAAAAAGACTCCACGACGAATTAAGTTGCCGCCGGCTAACAAGAGTTACTTTCAATTTAAAAAGTGAATTATCATCAGATGTATATATTTACTTATCGAAGTTAAAAAATTTGTTGTTGTAGAGAACATTGCATGAAGTTAACTGAGCTTTAATGTAAAACTACACATGCGTGTACTTTTATCTGAATTCTCTAATCATGGTCTCTTATCAATTAGGTATATACTTTTTATTTAATAAGTTAATACATGAAACATGTAAATTTTTGTTTTATTTTATTATAATATCCATGATAATAATAGAATCACAAGAGGTAACAGTTTAGTTTAAATAGGGTGTGGTCGGATTACATCTTCTTGTGTTATTCGACGCGGAGTCTTTTTTAGATCCGTGCTATTTTTTTTAGTGAAAAGTTTTTGAATGTTCGTCGGGCATAATTTAACTATGTAGATATTCGTAATTATTTTGTTAAATCCCTAAAAGTAATTAATAATTATTGTACTGAAGTAGGTGTTATCTTGTCGAATTCCATATCACCGGATATTTAATTAGAATTATTTTGTCCAATTCCGTTACTATTAATATGTGTGTAATAATATAATTATAAACTATAATTGGCAATAACGAATAATTCAAAATAAATATTTGGCAGTTTGTAATCTGAAGTCTATATAATTATATATTTAGTAGATATAATGATTATTTACATCCCTATCTTTAATTATATAGACCGTTATTAATTAAAATTAATTTATTAAAAGAAATAAGTAACACGCCAATATTCTAATAAACAAAGTCGTATAATTTCAGGACGGGACCGAATTTTGAGAACAATATAAAATTTGCTAATTGATTAAAAGGTCCTCGATACTAAGAATTACAACGTCTATCTCGAATTAAACCATTTGTTTAATTTATGGTTTTACATTATTTTACATAAAAATAAATAAAATTATATGTAGTTAATTATAGAGTGCACAACAAGCTTTAACAAGATTCACAGTCAGCGACGCAAAAATGTTTTCACTGCTACGGTCAACACGAATTTATAAATGGAACGGAATTTTGGGCTTTTCTAAACTCATAGACTTTAATACTGATTCTACCACAGCATGATTGTTTCTAAAGACAAAATAGTAACAATGTACTGGCACCTACAGCATCGAAATGGTCATTTAGGCACTCTTTAATCTTGTTAATTATGTATTGTGACAAAGTAGAAGACCTGCTACATTTGCTGGTGGAATGTGGCCGGAATTGTAACCTGAAACAGCGGATTCTGGGTGATATGCCATTATATAACGGTTATGTCAATTTAATACTAGGTCAACCTGGCAGTTACAATGCAAGACGGCTATATCTGTGGGTAAGGGTGTCCCTGCTGGACTGACAGACTGACTTTCAGACAATCCCTATGAGGCTGGCATAGTCACTCCGGTGTACTAAAGCTTCAACAAAAATTTTTTTTTAAAAAAATCTTGTTAATATAAGTGACATTAAATTTTCGATATCGCTGCATGTTTTATGGTTTATAAGAAACGGGATTTAAAGTGATCATTTATGTAAACTATAATAATTTACTTGTATATCTCGTTTATCATTATTGTTTAGTTTTTTAAGCCTCTATTTATTTAGATCCACTATTTGTATTTAAATGTTGCTACCTAAATATGTTTGTTTTTATCACTATTTAGTTAGTTTTCCAACATTATTTACTTACATTTATAAGGTGAATGTAAATTTAGTTATTAATGCTCGATGATAAGAAACTAATTTGTAGTGATCAGATAATATAAATTATATATCAACAACACACTGTCATGTAATGGAATGTTGCTGTGTAAAATATTGTCAAATAATGAAAAACCACAAAATTTATAGTATACCTCAAAATTGCAATACTTATTAAGGAAGACCTTGTAATTTTGTAAAACATACATTTACTATATTACATGTACTTACAATGATATCGTAGATATCAGCTATTTCGTTGCACTATTGTTTAAAAACTTAATATAGAGTGACAACCTCTTTCTTTTTTACGATCATATATAAAATACAATCATTTTTTGATATAGTATCAATAAGCACTAGCAATATTCTAGTATTGAGGTAAAGAATTTGAAACTAATTTTGTCTATATCACATTGCAAAGAAAGAAGTGTCGTGTTATTTTAATAAGGTCTCCATACACTATTACTGTCAGGTTGCGGATTCCCCCGTTGTCCAAGATTGTTGACTCTCCCGTCTTCTCCCCTAGCCGCTGCTGCAGCACACGAATTTCCCCCTCCCAATAACAAATCACCTTGTCCATGGTTCGTGTGTTGTCTATGATTGCTCGTTGTCGATGAAATTTGATCCATCATAGTCTGCAACTCATTATGATGGTTCTGCGTTGAATGTATCGAGTTCGAATGCAGTGGATGAAAGTTGTGTGTTTGATTCGCCGCTGTGTACAATTGGCTGTACAACAAACTCGCGGGAAGGACTGGGTATAACGAATTGTTACAATTACTACTACCGTACGAAGAGTTCTGTGAACTCATTAGGGATGTGAAATTGGAGCTATTTGTGTGATTGTGTCCTACGTTTGTTGTCGTGTTCGATGTGAGCAAGTCATCCTGTACTGGAGACTCGGGCTGCGAGCTGTTATCACTCAACGACCGGGGCCCCGTCGAGAGACTGTAGTCTGCATTGTTATTATACCGCGGGAGGAGACTTCCGTGGTGCGACGGCGACGATCCGACCAGTCCTGATAGCTGTTGGTCTAAATCCACACCAGTCGTGTCCGGCAATACTGCACAACCAAACAATGGATTAGATTAGCGGACGAAAATAACAGGTATTGATAAACGGTCGCGGGTTCGTATAGTTTAATATGGCGCTATATTTTTCATGGCGCGCGGCGGGCACGCATCGGCAATAAATTCATCGGCCGGATCGGACGCATCCGAGCCGTTGTAAATTATAATGAGAGCCGGTTTAATGTCCGATGCGCGTCTCCGCCATCCACGCCATGCGCGTACAATTTTAAGGAGGATGTTGATCGTAAAACATGTTGGTGGATTTAATTTCACCCTACTGGTTTAATGAGTTATGATCTCCTACCATAAATCGATCACTGTTTTAATAACTTTCCAAAATAAAGAAATATTGTTGGTGAACACGTGTTTTGTAACACACTAGATATAGCTGGTGATAGTGGATCATACAGAAAGTAAATTTAAAGGATTGAAAGAAATAATTGCTATAAGTACATGAAAACAATAATTTAAGAAAATAACAAGAATACTTTTAGAGCAATGTTATCTATTTTAAAAGACATAATCGTGTGCTTATATTATTTTATATTCTATTATCATCCTACTAAAGTAACCAACAAAAGTAAAATTGGAAAAGTTACCATCAACTATTATTCCTGAATTTAATATTCAGTTTTTTTTTTTATATATCACATTGTACATGCCCCAGAATTTGTAAGCCGCTTCAGCCGTATTTTTTTGTATATAGTTACATGATATCTTTGCCAATTTTCATGTTTATCTTTCAATCAAAAGTTTTTACTTTCAAGTGGTCTTATAATATTCTATTAGTTTTATTAATAGAAAATACTATTAAACATATGTAACTGCTGTTTATTATATATTTCTTACCCGTATTATTAGCGGAGAAGTCTTGCGAAGGTGTCTGTTCTGGTACCGAACCCGCGAAGCCGAGCGCGGGCGGGTTGAACTGTGAAGCTGCTGGCGCGGCACAAGATGGTAGGTATGCTGGGTATGCGCCCGCGCCGCCGTAGCCCCAGTGTGAGTTGCTCGAACTAAGCCCAAATTGGCTCATATCTATATAAAGATAAAGGATTATGTTATAAAGTAATTCATAGTAAACAGGAACTATCAGTTTCATTGCTTTGCATATATCCTATCAGGCTAATCTCCCAATTATGTCACGATGGTTTGTTAGTTACAGTTACTTTGTTTAATTCTGCTATCAACTAATATGCGTGTGATTGCTAACATTCGAAAATTGAATATAATTATAGATAATAAAAGTAAAATAAACCTTTTATGTTTACTATCAGTTTCCGACTGCCATTCCGTCCACGCACGTTAACTGTTCGGCGCTTATACTGCAAAAAAATAGCACTAGGCTCCAAATAGTTAATCTGTTAATATGTCTGAAGATGCCTCGTTTAGAGGTGAAACACGAGTTGCAAAACGTGCATGGACGGAACAGCGGTCGGGAATTTATGGCTAATACGGAAGGTTATAGAACTTCTGGAAATAATAACAGTAGTTAATCTTCAAGCGTTGTCAGTCGCACGTATACTAATGGTAGCGAAATTAAACAAAATAATTCGAAGTAACTAACCAGTGATATGGACTTCTGCAAAATAATACCTATTTCAGTAAAAAATTCGTCACGATGGTCAAATTAACCAATTCTCACCTATCATGTTTTATTGATAAGTCTTAGTCAGTAAGAGCCTCAGTCGCATAATCCAATAGTGCATATGGAGTTTCCATTCCATTACAAAAAACTTAAGATCTGTCGTGTTCTGTTCGCGTTAAATTTATAAAAATTTGGATACAATTACAATTAATGAATGAAATTAACATTTAATTAGTATAATTACCTATTATGTTGTGAGATACTTATATTATTCAGAATAATTATTAATATATTTAAAATTGGTAGTACTTAAGGTCAGGATCATGGCGGCTCATTGTTTATTTACCGCTAAGTGCAATAGGTACATGATGGTAACTCAGTTTATTGTTACTCGTATTTATAATAGCAGAATATGTAAGTGAGGAACTTCTCTATTGGTATAAATTAAATTTTAAAAAAATTACAACGATTACCGCACATAAATTGTACATTGTCATGCACCGCCTATTTATTTCTGTGTTTACATAATGGTTGATTGGTGTAGAATACCGTCCGGTGTTAAGTTCCCCAAATATACATTAATTTACAGTGATATCTGATTAATTATAATCGATCAAATTGGTATAATAATAATAATTAGAGGCACAAACAAAACTTGAATATCGAGCGATACAAACGGAAAACATTCAGTCTCTAGAATATGAATGTGCTTGGTTTCCATCACTTATGCAAACTTTCGCAGATGTTCTCTAGCAAATTTTATGTTAACTATAAAACGTTCAATCGAAACTATCAGTGCCATAAACTCTATGTTGTAGACATCTTGTTTCGTTTTAATGAATGTTCAGTGAAAATAGCTTCACTGTAAATTTTAATTGACTAACAACCATAAGTGAGTGTTGAGCGCGCATAATGTCTTATGTGTTGCATGGTTACTATCTTTATTTTGTTTATGATTTAGTAACAATGACTTTAAGGTTTGTACAAACGCGGGACATATTGCCCGCATAGAACATTTACGAACACAAGTGCTCATATTCAATGTTCCGTTAAATCCTTAGATTAAATATTGGGTACGTTAAAGATTGTAACTTTAATAACATACAATCATTGTTCAAAATTCTGTTTGACAGAGAAACAAATAAAGCCATTGCCTGCAGAACTTGAAAAACAATATAGGTACTTATAAAGATACCATGAGTGGACAAAACGCGCCGATAGCCGTCCGCGCTTTGCGTGCACTCTATTTTTTCAGGGTATTACCGGCTTTTATTTTTTGGTATCACGGTTCCGTTTTGGCCGGCGATCGGCGCAGTCGGTTTTTATACGAATGCGCGTTCGCCGATTTGTGAATGTTGTTTTTTTTCGGTTTCAGCCGCATGGGTTGTTTTGGGGTAGCCGTGGATTTCACTATGCTCTGTGCATGCTTGTTCGATTGTGCCCGCAGCTAGCTTTGAGTTGATTCTCTTTTTGCTAACCGATTGAATCCGCGCTCTAGTGAACGTAGTTTAGCGTATCTGCCGCGTGATTTGGAGAATCGTTAACTTTTCAAATGCTACGCAGTCCGTTGTGTAAGTTTGAAAAATCTTAATTAATTCTCTCTCTGTTCTGTCTGTTTATTATCCTCTAAACTAGTATTAAAATTATGTCAGAATCAAGAATATAAAGTATATCTTCATAATTACATTACTTAACCTGATGTACTTGTATATACCTCCGACAAAATCGTTGGAGTTATGGTAACTTATCAAACTAAATAAATTTTACTTAAAGCGAAACTCCCTAAAGGCTTAATAGTGTGAACCGTGTGTGAACAGATCTCTATTATAACCTTTTGCTACATACAGTATCTACTGATAACGAAGATTCTTGACTCGTTCGTTAGATAGCATATCATCTAACTATATTAAGATCGATATAAGATTTCGTTGACCACAACATGAATCGTCGTAAATATCTGTTTCTACAAACTTTTCTTATTATTACGTATTTATCTGTGTCTATTACTAATGGAATCAATTAAACCGATTTAAAAAGGAAGGAGGTTATCAATTCGGTTAATTTTTTTTAACGTTTGTCACTTCATAACTCCGTCATTTTAAATTGATTTAAAAAATTCTTTTTTACTTGTAAGAATACATTTACAAATAGGTCCCATAGTAATTTAGTTTATAATCGCAATAACTGGTTTTATCACAATTAAAAGTGTTTTTTTTTTGTGAAACACAATCATAATTATATTTAAATAACAGTACATAAATTACACTATGTATTTTAAATTCTAAATTAACTATAATGGTTTCCAGAGAAAACCGTATAATAAGTGATCTGACAAGATATATTGTTAGTAATTGAAACAAATAAATATCTTGTATTTAACCATTAGCTATTTCTTGTTGCTTCACCCACTTGCTAAGTATGATCATCACCTACATCTGTATCAAATTTTATTTAAATTCGTTCAGTCGTTTAGGCGTGGTTAAGAAACAAATTGATTTTGTACAAAAGTCGTTTGCTTGGGCATCTCTGTCCCATTCGTGTTTCTACCGTGAAGCAGTTGTGTTTGCATGGCTGTATTTCGGTTTGAAAGGTGGGATATGGCAGTGAATTTACAGGGTACAGAGTAATAATAACTGAGTCCTCAGGATTGGCAACGTATGGGGGTATCATGGGCGAAACAGTATGTACTCTCTTATGTATGTAGTAGACATATACTGTGTTATGTCCATGGTACTGCTCATGTCTATAGGCGACGGTTACAATTTAACATCAGGTGTGCCGCCAGCTTGTTTGCCATTTTTAGTTGCATAACAAAACCTTTATAAAATTTCATATTCAGAATATTAATAAGGTAACAGATGGGTACTCACTTTGACAAGTAGTAATGGGCGGCATACGGAACCCGCCGAGGGGATCCGGCGGAAACGGGAAAGGTCGCTGTCCGAACGCGAAGTGAAACTGCTGCTGCTGCCCTAGGAGAGACAACACTACATCAGTACGATATTGGCTGCCCTTCACCAGTAGCATTCTTATCATATTTTTTTCTATTATTTACCTATTTGAAATAAACTCACCAACAGTATACATATTATATATAAATTAAGTTACATTTTTTTTATATCTGTATATATTATATATATATATATATATATATATATATATATATATATGTGTGTGTGTTCGTGTGTGAGTGCGTGCGTGCGTGCGTGAGTGCGCGCGTGCGTGTGTGTGTGTGTGAGTGTGTATTTAATTATTAGTGGATTTTGCTTGCAACTTCATATGCGTTAAAAGAAAAAAAACCAATTAAACCAACCATTTCTTGATGACGGTGTCAGTATAAAATATACACTTGATCAACAGACGGATGGTTGGTTGATATTTGAAGAGTTTTTATTTGCAGATACGGCAATTTTATAGTATTAAACTAAAATATGAATGTGAAGCAAGAAGAAACATAATCATAGAATGAAGACGAACAGACACTCGAGATGATTTTTTTGAAGGTTGAATAACTCTGAACATAACCAATAGTATTACATTATCTATGACATTACGAATATTGAACTGCAACTATGGTTTGTCGATAATAGCAGGTATCTATATCTGTTTTTCAGTTTGCTTACGATAATAGTTAGTCATATTTAGGTGCATCAATTCTCATTAAATTCATATTGAATCGACAACAAAAGCTTAAAAATAGTTCTGACTTTTTATAATAGTCTTTATTAATATAATGTGTATGTACTGGATATCGTATAATATATTTAAATTTATATATATTTCCGATGAAAAGTAAAATTTTTAAAGCACAATTTACCGATTTCCGTACACATCATGGCATTGAATGAAACTCTCTCAGGGAGTTGTCAACCCTCGTTCCCCCCACCGATTTGTCTGATACTCGATAATTCATTGACACTTGTGACACCCTCAATAGCACGTGTACCTACTCGTACATCTATCTGTGAGACGTACCTCGGGAGGGGTTCACTATTGAAATAAATTAAATGTACTTGAATTAGACATGTAAGGATTTTATAGTATGATGATAGTATGCTGCCAGATATTTTGTCAGTCCTCAATCAGAATCAGATTCTGGGTTCAAATTTTAATCGTGACGATTTTGAATTGATATTTTAGATTTCGAATCGAGTTTCAGCAATGATTGTTGTATCGCAAAATATTCTGTTATATTTAATTTTTTCCTAGTGTAATTCCCATGTTTGAGAATCAGAAAATTTATGTTAATATCAGTTATTTATTATTATTTTTCATCTGACTTCAAAAAGAAGGAGATTCCGAATTCGGTCGTATTTTGTTCATGTTTGTTACGTCATAACTGTGTCAGTTGGAAACCAATTTGAAAAAATCTTTTTTTTATCTGAAAGGACATATTGCAGATTGGCTCTATAGAAAATTTATCAAAATTAGTTCAGTAATTTCTTTTTAAACCAAAGTTCAGTATTTATTTTTAGACATAATTTCAATATCGGCAAGTCTTATTGGTTCCGATTAGTTACATATCCGTTGCTTTCCTTGTGTTCAACGTCCATCAGTCAGCAATAATGAGGGAGACTTTATATAAATTCATCTATATGGGCACCTTTGTCCCACTCGTGTTTCTACAAATAAAGCAGTAGTACTTGCGTGATTTTATTTCGCTTTGAAGAGTAGGACATAGTGGTATTATAGAGTCAAGAGACATAAGAACACCGTCTTCAGAAATTGCAACTCATGAAAAGTATTACGAATTGTACTCATTCTTTTCTTAAGAACTCTGTATCCTATAATTTAATACATTACTGTACAATAAAGTGTTACAAACAAACAAACGTACATCACATTATATTCCATGAATGAATGAATGAATAATAACTTTATTTGCTTAAATATAGGTTATATTTACAGGTTAAGTTATATATTAAAAGTATTTAATCTTAAAAAAGAATCTCTGAATTCTATTGTGTGGTGTACAAATATTAAATTTGGAACTTGTCTTTAAAATTTTACATTAAAATAGTCTTCACGTGAATAAAAATATTTCTCAGTAATCCAATTGGAAAGTTTTTCATTATGTCTTGTGTGTATTTTAAGGGACTTAATAACCCGGCCCACCACGCCGCCACCTATCTGGAATAATTGAAAGAATTTTAGTGAGCGTGACTTACTCAAGGCCTTTAACCATATTAATAATAAAATTATCATATAATCTTTACTTAATAATACTGATATAATAAAATGACACAATAACTAAAATTAAACAGAGGAAGACTTTGTACAAAAGTCGTTTCCTTGGACACCTCTATCCCATTCGTGTTTCTACCGTAAAGCAGTTGTTTGCATGACTGTGTTTCGGTTTAAAGGATGAGATATGGCAGTGAATATACAGGGTACAGAGGAATAATACATGAATCCTCAGGAATGGCAACGCATGGGGCGTATCATGGGCAAAACAGTATACTCTGTTATATCCATGGCACTGTTCATGTCTATAGGCGACAGTTAGCACTTTCCATCAGGTAAGCAGTTTGCTTTTTTGCCATTCTAAGTGACATAAAAATATATATAAAATAACAAATAATATAAGTTACGTAAAATAAGATATGCAAGTATATGAACGCCCACTAATTCCCTATTCCCATTCGCGATTCAGCACTTCCGAATTGTGTTACGTTACAATTGACGTCACTAATTAAGGTGCCTATACCTAGGCATGTGGCATGTCAATGGGTTAGTTTATTTTATGTTTACTAATGAAAATATTTATGAATAAAGTTTAATTGAATTACTGTGAGGGTTTTTGAAAATATGCGATCAGTGTCACATTCTATATAAGTGAAGAACTATAGAATTCTTATTTGAATCGAGTATAATCGTTTTTATTCGATTCATAAAAGGAGTATATTTTTTTTTTCAAATTTACGATTGTACGTAAAAGAGATTTATTCTGGTAATAAATATTATACTGTATAAGAAAAAACATGCTGCATTTATTAAAACTTAATTTAAATAAAATAATACATCGAGTCGAAGAGGAGTAATACATCGTATTTCAATGTCAATAATTGTAAAATATTAGTTTTTCATTTTAATAAAAATAATATATACTATGGAAATCTCTTCCACTGCATATTTGCGAAAGTTAATTGTAATCAAAAATATATTCAAGAGCAGATTAAAAGAACATCTTCTGTCCTCATAAACTTATTATGTCTGTGTATGTATATATATATATATATATATATATATATATATATATATATATATATATATATATATATATATATATATATATATATATATATATATATATATATATATATAAGTTATATTTATGTATTTTTAAATGTAAGTATATAAGTTTACATATTTATTTAATATAAATTATATGAATGTTTATAATAAAGTATAAATAAATATAGTATTGACATTCGGTCCGGAAGATTCTAATTGTCAATTTTTTTTTTAACAGTATATTTAAATTGTACCTAATCTGTTCTCTTATATTGTAAATTGTACATATATAAGAGAACAGATTTGGTTCCTTTATTTATGGTTCGTAATATGTTTGTACATGTATCTCTACATACGACATAATTTAATTTCATTCATGAAACACAAGAGGCTGAAGGGTTGTTTATGGAATATAAATTATTTTGTCGCTTTAATTTATCTCATCAATGTTGATGGATAAATTATGCATTTATTAAAATTTATTCGCATAAAATCGTAAGGAATGTTTTATGGATTATTTTTTTCATAAGTGAAACAAACAACGCAATGTAACTTATTTTTTATACTATTATTATTATAATTAAATTGACACTATTAGCAGTCACATCACACTTTGTTAAATGATGAAATTCATAAAATATAAACAAAAGCTAAATACTTTTTGTTAGTAAGAGCTTTAATTAATATCGATTGGTTATCTAAATAAGTAAAAAATAAATAAGTTCGATTAGTGACCTAACTTATTAACATTTTTAATAGTCTTAAATTTGATTAAAATTATTCACAAATAAAAATGGTCGAATAAGTACAATAAGTGGTAATTAGTTACGAAACAAAAATGTTTATTATGATCGTTAAAGCGTCATCCCACTGCTGGGCATAGATCATATCTCATGTAAGAAAATGATAAATATTAATCTTTAGTGTGTTTTTATTACCATTGTTTTACATTTTAGTATCTTACGACACCTTATAGATAAAATCAAATGACAGTAAGTACATTATGTTCTAACTTCGGCACCATATAGAGAAACAAATATGCTTAAAATTTTGTCAAATCGGTTTCGATATAATTAAAATTGACATACTGGATATCAACATGCGTCTCTCATTTATTTAATTACTACCCTCTTAATAATAGTCCCAGTATTCAGTGCAACGCAATTACTTTTCCATTTCAGTGGTACATACAAACGATTAAACGTAAAAATGTATAAATGTATGGACAAACACAATGAACGTTTTAAGCATTAAATTGACGAATGCACTCACACACACCTAAACGCTGTTTCACACTACTTATGCTAGTGTCCTAGGCAGTAATCATAACAATATAGAGCTATTTATAAAGAAAACAATATATTCTGTCTTATTCGTGTTTCTACCGTGATTGTCTTTGCATGGCTGTGTTTCAGTTTAAAGAGTGGGATATGGCAGTGAATTTACAGGGTACAAAGGAATAACACCTGAGTCCTCAGAAATGGCAACGCATGAGGGTATAATGGGCGAAACAGTGTACTCTGTACGTCCATGGTAGTGCTTATATCTATAGGCGACGATTATCACTCTCCATCAGGCGGGCCGTCAGCTTGTTTGCTATTTAAAGTTGCATAAAAAGAAAATTAAAAAGTTATACAAAAATTATAAGTGAATTATAAAGACACAATTTTGTGTCAGAAGGTAGAGATATTCCATTACTAAGCTGACTTTTGATAAATGGTTCTTCTCTAAAGATAACAACATATTGTTACAT